GGCGGAGTAGGAGTAGACTGAACAGGATTTGGATGAGGAGGAGGAGGATGAGGAGGAGGATGAGGAGGAGGAATAGGACGGTGAGGAGGGGACGAAATGGAAGAGGTGGCGGCGGAGGAGGCGGAGCAGGCGGAGACGGAGATGGAGGATGAGGCGGATGCGGAGGCGGGGGAGGAGGAGGAGGAGGAGGAGGAGTAGGAGGAGGAGGAGGAGGAGGAGGAGGAGGAGGGAGAGGGAGGAGGAGAGGAGGAGGGAGGAGAAGGTGAGGGGGAGGAGGAGGAGGGCCAGGAGGAGGAGGAGGAGGAGGAGCAGGACGAGGAGGAGGATGATGATGAGGAGGAGGAGGAGGTGGATGAGGAGCAGGAGGATAACTAGCAGGATGAGAAGGAGGAAGAGGAGGAGGAGAAGGAGGAGGAGGAGGAGGAGGAGGAAACGTAAACGGAGGAGGAGGCGGATCAGAAGGCGGAGGAGGAGGAAGATGATGATGATGAGGAGGAGGAATAGGAGGAGGAGGGGGAGGAGGAGGTGGTGTAGGAGGAGGAGGAGGATGATGAAGAGGATGAGGAGGAGGAGGAGGAGAACGAGGAGGGAGAGGGGGAGGATGAGAGGGCACATTAATATGACACACGAGGGGCTCTTGGCTCATGCCTCGACGCGCTAAAACAGAGCATGTCACAGGGCAGTGAGAAGAGGGCGATGATGCTGATGCTGATGATGCTGCTGCTGATGATGATGATGCTGGTGGTGATGGTGATGATGATGATGCTGATGCTGATGATGATACTGGTCATGATGCTGATGCTGATGATGCTGGTGCTGGTGATTTTGATGCCGATACTGGTGATGCTGCTGCTGCTGATGCTGATGATGATGATGCTGATACTGCTGATGCTGATGCTTCCGATGATGAGGATGATGATGCCGACGCTGCTGATGATGCTGCTGCTGATGATGACGGCGATGATGATGCTGATGTTGATGGTGATACGGGTGGTACTGATGATGCTGTTGATGGTGATGCTGTTGATGATGCTGAGGATTATGACGATGGTGCTGCTGCTGCTGCTGAGTATGATGCTGCTGACGATGCTGGTGATGTCATAATTGCTGCTGCTGCTGATGATATTGATGATGCTGCTGCTGCTGCTGATGCTGCTGCTGCTGCTGATGATGATGATGATGATGATGATGATGATGATGATGATGACGATGATGATTATGATGCTGCTGCTGGTGATGCTGATGATGTTGATGATGCTGATGACGTGGAAGAAGACGAGGAGGGCGACGATGCTGCCACCGATGCTGCTGGTGCTGATGATGATGCTGCTGCTGGTTGTGATGATACTTTGACTGCTGATGTTACTGACATTGCTCATGCTGCTGCCGCTGCTGCTGCTGCTTATGATGACGATGATGATGCTGCTGCTGCTGATGATGATGATGATGCTGATGCTGATACTGATTATGATTATGATGGTGATGGTGATGATGATGACGATGATGATGATGATGATGACGGTGATGATGATGATGATGCTGATGCTGATGATGATGATGATGCTGTTGATGTTGATATTGTTGATGGTGATGCTGATGATGATGCTGATGATTATGATGATTGATGATGATGATGATGTTGTTGATGATGCTGATGCTGATGCTGATGCTGATGCTGATGATGCTGATGATGATGATGATGATGATGATGATGATGATGATGATGATGATGATGATACTGAGGAGGAGCAGGAGGAGGGGGAGGAGGAGAGGAATGAGGAGGAACGGGAGGTGCCGCCCAAGCGACTCATTTTTCCTTCGGGTATCGCTTCCACTTTCGGGCCTACCTGGACCAGCTCGTCTTTCTTCATCTCCTCCTTTTCCTTCTCCTTCTTGCCTCCTCTTGCTCGTTGCTTCCTATTTGTCGTCGTCGTTTTTATTCTCCTCCCATGACTTCGTTCTCCCTCCTCGTCTCATTGCTCTTTGTCCTCCTCTTCCTCATCGCCCCTTTCCCTTGTCGTTCTCATCCTGCCCCTCATCTTGATCATCATCATCATGATCTTCATCATCGTGATTTTCAACTTCGCACCCTTCACCTTCTCCTCTTCTTCCTGCTCCTCCTCCTCGTCCTCCTCCTTCTTCTCCATCACCTCCTCCTGCTCCCCCTGTCCTCCGTCGCAGAGGCCACTTCCTGAAATCTTTGCTTTTCCCTTTGCTCCTTGTGCAGTCGGCTCCTTGGCAGTCCGCTGATTGGAATAACAGCGCCCTCTCTGCCCGAGTCCAGATCAAGCCGTCCATCTCTCTCATCTCGCTCCCCTCCCCTTCGCCCTGCCCCTCCTCCTCTCCTCCTCCCCCGCCGCCTTCGCCTCCGCCTCCGCCTCCGCCTCCTCCTCCTCCTCCTCCTCCTCCTCCTCCTCCTCTCTTTCTCGCCCTGCCCCCCCCCCCCTTATCCCTGCTCCTAGCCTTTTTCCCCCCCCCCTCTCTCCCTTCTCCTCCTCCCAGGTCCCCTTCCCTTCTCCCCTCCCTCCTCCCCTCCTCCTCCTCTTTCCCCCTCCCCCTCTCCACACGATTTTCCTCTTCTTCCTCGCCCAGCGACGTCGATGCTGCTCCCCCCCCGCATCCCCCCTGCCGCGCGCCGCAAAGGCGAAAACTTCACGGCCGCAGCTTCATACTCTGGGAGGGGCCGGGGGGCGGCGTCTGGGAGCCGATGGGAATCGAGGCGGAGGGCGACGACGACGATTACGAGAAAGAGGGAGGAGGAGGGAGGGAGGGAGGGAGGGAGGGAGGGAGGGAGGGAGGGAAGGAGGGAGGGAGGGAGGAGGAGGAGGAGGAGGAGGAGGAGGAGGAGGAGGAGGAGGAGGAGGAGGATTATGATGATGCTGCTGCTGCTGATGATGTTAATGTCGATTATGATGATGGTAATGCTGATGATGGGGATGCTGATGATGATGCTGCTGCTGATGATGATGCTGCTGCTGATGATGATGATGATGATGCTGATGCTGATGCTGATGATAATGATGCTGATGTTGCTGATGAGGATGCTAAGATGGTGGTGATGAGGATGATGCTGCTTATGATGGTAATGGTGAATTTGATGTTGATGGTGATGGTGATGGTATTGATTATGTGGTTGTTGTGCTTGTGCTTGTGTTTGTTGTTGTAGTTGCTGTGGTTGTTGCTGTTGCTGTTTTTTTTGTTATGCTTGTGATTGTTCTTGTTGATATGGTTGTTGTTTCTGTTATTGCTGTCGTTGTTGTAGCTGTTGTTGTTGCTATTGTTGTTCTTGTAGTGAGTGTGGTTGTGGTTGTGGTTGTGCTGCTGTGGTTGTTGCTGTTGTTGATGATGATGCTGATGTTGAGGATGAGGATGAGGATGGGCATGAGGAGGAGAATGAGGACGACGACGACGACGACAACCGCGACGATGACGACGAAAATGACGGCGACGACGACGACGATCTATGATTTTACTACGTCTACTACGTCTACTACGTCTAGTACGTCTAGTACGTCTTCCACATATGATGTCTACTACTTCTACGTACACGTCTACTACGCCTACTACGCCTACTACTTCTACTACGTCTAGTACGTCTACTACGTCCACTACGCCTACTACGTTTACAACGTCCACTACGTCTACTCGTCCACTACTTTTACTACGCCTACTGTTGCTAGTGTGGAAGAGGAGAAGGGGAGGATGAAAAACATGGCCCTTCTCCTAGTCGTCTGCTTTTCCCTTCCTTTTCCCCTCCTCTTCAGCTTCTTTCTTGGCCTCCTCTTCCCCTTTCTTTCTTGTTCCGTCTTTTCCAATTCCTCATGCTCATTCCTGCTCCCCCCTCCCTCCTCCAGCTCCTTGCTCCCTGCTCCCTTCTTCCCTCCCTGCTCCCCCTCTTGTTGCTCCTCTCTCCTCTTCCTCCCTCCTCATCCCTCCTTCCTCCTGCTCCCTCCTCCTCCCTACTCCCTCCTCCTCCCTCCTGCTGCTGCTCCTTTTTGTGATCGCTTGGGGCCCGAGGTGGAGGACGCGTCTGAGCAGCGAGCCGCCATTGTCCACGCCTGTGAAGAAGCCACCGGTGATCCCCCGCCCTGCCGCGCGCGCTTCTTCCCCTCCTCATTCTCCATATTCACCTTCTCCTCCTCCTCCTTCTCCTGCTCCTCCGTGCTCCTGCTCCATGCTCCTCCTCCACATCCTGCCTCTCATCTTCCTCTTCATCCTCCCTCCTCCTCCTTCTCCTCCTCCTCCTCGTCCTCCTCCGTCTTCTGCTGCTCTTGCTCCTCCATGTGCTCCCCCCTTCCTCCGCCACCTTCTCCTCCGCTCTCCTGCGTCTGCTCCTCCCTCCCTCCTCGTGCATCTGCCTCTCTACCTGCTCCATCTGCTCCTCCATCCTCATCCATACTCCTCCATCCTCCTCCCCCCGCATTCCCCCTCGTCTTCGTACCCTTAGGGAAAGGAGGAGGTTGAGGGGGAGGGACGCGCGGCGCCGGTGCCACAGACGCCAAGCTCACTCGACCTCTGCATGCGCAAGGTCCCGAGTGGTTCGACATTTTGGAACCAGAGCGATGGCCAAATATCATGAAGTGGACAAGATTCTGCGCCAGGCCACGCGGGTCGTTTCTCGACCGGCGCGCCTCGCCGAAGCGACGGGAAGTTTATCCGTGGCCGCCGTCGCCTTCGAGGCGCATTCTCGCGGGCCCGCGCTGAGCGCTCACTCGCTCGTCTCGCCTCGTCAGGCACCAGGGGTCCCTCGCACGGGTTTCCCCGTCTGCCTCGCTGGAGGGGCCCGGCGCCCACGGCCGCCAGCCCTCTCTCCCTCTGGCGACGGCTCTTAGGCCGGGCGTTGGCCAGGCCTCGGGGCCGGCGCCGTCCTGGTGGGCTTCCCCAGCTCGCGCCGATGCTGCCGCTTCTGCTCCCGCGCGCTCTCCTCGAGCAGCGTGCAGGCTCCGAGTGCGCCTGCCCTCCCCAGTCATGCGACGTCCTGGCTCTTGCAGGACGGCCTCCCCGGAAGTCCCGACCCTCTCCCCGGGACCGGTCTTTCGTCCTGAGTCGTTTTCTGACGGACCCGAGGCCCGGCGAGGGCCCCCCCGAGGCCGAAAAGGGCCAAAAACCTCCCGTCCTGATTTGTCAACGACGCGATCATCTCACGTCTGGGTCTGCATCGTCGGACCCGTCCCCGCCCTCCCGGGGCCAGGGCAGCTCGGCGCCGCCGGCCGATCCGCCTCCGGGTGGGCAGAGGCCCCGCGAGACGACCGCAGGGGAGCAGGCAGCCGGCCCCCTCTGGGCGGGCGAGGAAGCCAGCGGGGCCGGCCACGCCAGTGGGGGCAGGGTTACATCGGGCTTGTCCCTCTAATTCGTGTATACTTGCACCGTTGCTCATTATACCTTCCTCCTGGAATGTTACCCTCCTCCTCCTCCTTCTCCTCCTGCGCTGCTCTGGTCGAGAGGATTCGTTTGAATGTGAGGAGTGTGTGGCGGCATCCTTGTTTCGCACGCACACGCAGAGAGTCGAATCGACACGATAGCTTTGCACCGGCAAAAATGAACACAGGATGAATATTCAAGAGTAGTCAAGATATTGTCGGGGGACGATGGTTTGAGTATTTTGTCCGGCTATCTTTTTTTGGGAGGGGGGGGCTATGTTTTAGTTTTCGTCCCAAATCCGCCTGTAGGAGGGACATGCCCGACCGAAGGGTAGGGATCGGTTGAACGGTGCTCATGCCCTGCAGCACCCGCTGTCACAAGCTGACAGCTAGCACCCATATATCTATGTGCGACCACTCGATTTACCGGGGTGGAAGTCCGTGGCGGCTATGGTTGTGTGTGTGTGTGTGTCGTCGGATGGGGGGCCCCCGCTCGAACGGGAGCCCCCCTCGGGGTCCGACAGCCCGCGCCCATACCCGTGGCGCCTTCCCGTCCCTGCCCTTCCCCGTCCCCTCCTCCCCGCATGTTTGAGTCGGGCCTGTCCCCCTACATGGGGGTTTTCGACGAAAAATAGAGAATACCCCCAAAAAATATCCCCAAATGGTCCAAACAAGGACTCAGGAAATAGTCCCCAGACTGTTTTTGGACCATTTTTCAATTATTTCTGGGGTAAGTTTTTTTTTGTTTCGTCGAAAATCCCCCTGTAGGGGGTCCGGTCCGACTTCACCGTCTGTTCGAGTGTGCCGCTCCGCCCCCACTTTTCGAGGCCGGCCTCGGCCTTTTGCCTGCGCGGCTGGCCTCCTGCGCTGCGCGTGAGAGTCCCCTCCGCCTCTCTCCGTCTCACTTCTCCTCGCCGCTGTCCTCCTCCCCCTCCTCCTCCTCCTCCTTTTCCTCCTCCTCCTCCTCCTTTTCCTCCTCCTCCTCCTCCTTCTTTTCCTCCTCCTTTTCCTCCTCCTCCTCCTCCTCCTCCTTTTCCTCCTCCTGCCCTCTCCTCCTCCTTCCGCCCTTTCGCCCATCGCCGTCCACGGAAGTTCTCCTCGCCGCTGCCCTTGCGACTCTGAGGCAAAGAACATCCGTGGACGGACACTCCTGTCCAGACTGTGAGTCGGAGGTGGATATACCTCCTACCTTGACACGTCGGTTGAGGAATTGGCCGTTTTCGCTTCGCGAGAGGGCGTCGCGGCCGAAATTTTTGCGGGTCCAGGTCCGCCGGTTTCGGTCCCAGGCCGTTTTCATTAAGGGGAGGTTTGCGAAAGGGAGGTTTGTCCACCGCCGAGTGAGCAGGAGAGGCCCTTCTTCCACAGCCACCCCATCCTCTACCCACGGATTCCCTTCGGTCGGTGAAGCAGGTACTTCGGTCCTTCCCTTCCGTTCCCCTGCGCTGCACCGAGAGTGCGGCGTGGGCGGCCCTCTGCTTCGGAGCCCGTGCCCGGGCCGGCCTCGCGCTCGGCACCGAGCCGGGTCACGTCCCGCGCAGCCGGCCCGGCTGGACGGCGGGCCTGGCCGGGCGCTCTCTCGGAGCCCGTCGCGACGCAGCAGTCGCCGACGTGCTGGCTCAGGAAGTTGCGGTCCGACGGCGTGACGTGCACGCCAGTCGTGGACAGCAGGTGTTCTTGGATATCCAGATCCCAATCTGCTTCAGGCGCCTTCCTGCTTCAGGAGTCGAGGGGTTGTCCCTCCTCCCTCCTCTTCAGGGGGCGGGCGGAGACCCAGTCTGCTTCCAACGCCTTCCTATTTTATGCTTCTACCCATTTCTTCCGACCGGCGGGAACACGTGGTCCCCCACGTGGGCCTACGGCGATCCGACGTGGCCCGACGCTTGCACGGCGCCGTTGTGCATCCTGCCGCAGCCGATGCGGCCTCCGATTCCGACTCCGTGCCACGATGCGGCCCCTGACCCGACGCACGTTCCGATCTTCTTGCCTCCGGGGGCCGTTTTCGGGCCCCGGCAGCGTCAAAAACAGATCCAGGTCCACTGGATGGACCCTGGGAGGGGTCTGGGGATTGATTTTGATCGGATTTGGCCTCATCCCCCCTCCTGACAGATGTTCTCTGGGGTCCTAACCAGTTCAGACCCCT